TAGAATAGAATAGAATAGAATAGAATAGAATAGAATAGAATAGAATAACGGAAGGGATCTTGGAGGTCTTCTAGTCCAACCCCCTACTTCTTCCTGAATAGGGATGTCACAAAAGGTTAAAGAGCAAGGAATGAATGTGTGCATGGTTGCAAAGAGAGGAGGAGTCAGGATACTGGTACAATTCTTGGATCATGGGCTGAAAGTATCATTAAAGAGTCAATGCATGTTTTGATTTGAATCTGGCTTAAGGAAATCTATGCAATACACACTGATATGACATATCACTTTGATTATCCAGCAACTATGAGAGGAAAATTGCTTTCCTGTCATTTCTCTTGGTAGTGGTTTTATGAATGGATTTGCTTGTACATTTGTGTGCGTGTGTAAGAGAAAGACAGAGTTAATGAATCAAAGAGAGCCCAGACGTATAATATGTAACGTGCCCCACTCTCATCATCTTTCTGATAGTATGTCTAGTTACATCTGAGATACCAAATTCTTAAAATTCCTCCAGATGGCAGCAAAGTGACAACTATTTGTATATCTTTGCTGCCATCTGGTGGCTGACTGCATAGTTGTAGCCTTGATAAGATAGCCGGATTTATCATGCTTCAAATAGGCACTTGTCCATCCTTACCTGGATCCGTTCACATGATCGTATTCCCTCTTAACATTGACGCGGACTGGCTGATTGATCCACTCTTGCTGGGGAGGTAAAGGGTTGATCTTGTGTGGTTGACCATAATCCGGGTTTCCTGAGGCTGTCATGTCTGCTTTGGAAAGGTGAGCACCAGCTCCGTAGGTAGAATCAAAGAGGGATTGATCTTCACTCACCACTGACAGAGCCTCCTAGATATCAACAGAAGAAAGAGAAATTAAAGCGGGTGATCTACCCGGATTACAGGCTCAGCTTATATCTCCTTCTCATGGCTGGCAAAGAGATAACCAGAAAGGCTCGATCTGAAACTGGCATTCACCCCAGAGTTGCAAATTGAATCAGAAACTTTCATATATATTTATATATATAGCATGTGCACAATCATGCCTACCATTCAGAGGTGCTTTTCAGCAGGTTCTGACCAGTTCTGGAGAACCGGTAGTGAAAATTTTGAGTAGTTCGGAGAACCAGCAAATCCCACCTCTGATTGGCCCCACCCCCTCTATTCTCTGCCTCCCGAGTCCCAGCTGATTGGCTGGGTCTTCTTTTGTTGCCTGCATGGGAGAATGGAGCTGGAAAGCAGGTTAGTGGGGTTGGGAGGGAATGGGGATTTTGCAGTAACTTTCCCCTGGAGTGGAGAGGGAATGGAGAATGGAGATTTTGCAGTAACCTTCTCCTGCCACACCCACCAAGCCACGCCCACAGAATCGGTAGTAAAAAAAATTTGAATCCCACCACTGCTAACATCCCTGTCCTATTGTCCCCAGTTATATGTACCTATTTCCTGTATTCATGCTTATGTTTATTCTTATCTATATTATCTTGTAGCGATTGACAAATCAATCTTATATATATACATATTTGTTTTATTTGTAGTTTTCCTTAAAAAACCTTACATATTTTGTGTACAGTGTATTGACTGGGTCAATATATTAAATATATTAAAATATTAGTGATACAGCAGTGGGCAAGAAATACCGTATGAAGAAATGCTATTGATGTTTAAATATATTTATGGAGAAAGTGATAAAGGATTATAAAAAGAGAATGGTATTGTTTACAGACATAGATGTCTGTAAAACCCTAACAAATGGTTGTCTGTAAACCCAAACAAATAGATGTCTGTAAAACTCTAACAAATAATTAAAAATAATAATAAGCACAAATTGGAAAAATAGTATTATATACATTGATATATAAAAGAATCTATTACAATTATAATGTGCAAATTAAGGTTGGAAGTTGGAAGACAAAGATTATGTATATTTCATCATATTATTACTAGCCTTGCGAATCAGAAACTTTTGTGTTTCCACCCAGCCACTGAACCAAACTTATGGGTTCTTTGCTTTAATTTGAGCAAGCTGGAAGAATCTAGAGCAGAAGAACTGCACGCTGTCACCTCCCTTGGTTTTTGGTAACCTGCCAAATTCAGAAGAGCCGAGCCATCTTTCTCCAGACGGTTGCTTTATGGATATATGGTGAACGTAACTCCCTGCATTTGGAGCTGACAAGATTTTCATGATGGATGGGGGAAAATAACTGAATTGGAGACGACTGAACTAAATGTTCTGCTACATGGAAAAAGTAACCATGTGGATGCAGCTTTCCTCATCAGTCACTTGGAGTGCTATTTTATTCGGCACCACCCATCTGCTGGAGCCTATGGCCAGGACAACTTGGAAATATATAATGCAAAAGTCAGCTCTGATGTGCTGTGTTACACAGGATGGCCAATATTTCAATCCTGGCATCCACACATTAAATAATGGCAGCTATGGACAATAGCAATAGCACTTAGCACTTAGACTTACATTCCTCTTTACAGCCCTCTCTAGGCAGTTTTCAAAGTGAGCATATTGCCCCCAACAATCTGGGTCCTCATTTTACCCACCTTGGAAGGATGGCAGGCTGAGTCAACCTTGAGCCTGGTGAGGTTTGAACTGCCAAATTGCAGGCCAGCTGGCAGTCAGCAGAAGTAGCCCGCACTACTGCTAACCACTGTGCCACCAAGACTCATACTGAGAATGTATGAAACCCTGGAAAGCTAGCCATGAAGGAGAAGGGGTTGACCATATTCAACAAAGATGTATCATATACGGAAGAAATAATCATGTTGATCCCCTTTGATAGTACCTCTACAGATATAGAGATACTATAATATAGTTCTTAGGATGGTAGGGTAGGGTATGGCTTGGTAGGGTAGGGTAGGGTAGGATAGGGTAGAGTAAGGTAGGGTAAGGTATGGTATGGTATGGTATGGTATGGTATGGTATGGTATGGTATGGTTTGCTTTGGTTTGGTTTGGTATGGTTTGGTAGGGTAGGGTAGGTTAGGACATGGTTTGGTAGGGTAGAGTAGGGTTGGGTATGGTTTGGTAGGGTAGAGTAGGATAGGGTAGTGTATGGTATGGTTTGCTTTGGTAGGGTATGGTAGAGTATGGTATGGCATGGTAGGGTAGGGTAGGATAGAGTAAGGTTGGGTAGGATTTGATAGGGTATGGTAGGGTAGGGTAGGGTATAGTGGTCCTATAATATAGTTCCTAAGCATAATCAAAGCATAACTACCATCCAACAGAGCAAAAGGACACTGCCTTCTACACTACAGAATTGTTGGTCTCTGTCCAGCGGTCTAGACTAGACCTGAGACAGATGCCTTGTTTTTTTAATATCTTACTTGATGTTGTCTTTGGTAGTAGGCCAGTTTTAGCTTTCCTCATTTTTATGCTACATTCCTGGCATATTGCTCTGGGCTCTGTCGGTGACTGAGCCAAGACCCAACCAAGTTTCTGTGCCTGCTGACACAGCCCAGTCCTGTGTCTCTCGAGGCAAATTCGCAAAACAGAAGACTGACTTTTATACAGGGGTGACTGGCAAAAGGAAGGCAGGGCGCAGGGAAGAAAAACACCTTCAGAAGTTAACAGAGGTATGGAAAGAATTCCTACAGAAAACAATTCATAAACCTGTTGCAGGCCAAAACTTAGACCAAGGCTTTTGTGGCAAGAGTCCAAGGGGCGAGAGCTTTGCCAGATAATTGAAGGTTTAGACCTGAAGCGTTGCAAGGAAAATTCATAACATAGGCCTTCTGCTGCCTTATACAACTTTCCTCAAACTAATCTTCACCTGGAAGGTTAGGATGCATCCATAGGGCAGAGAGTGAGATGTTTTGTGGTGGTTTTTTTTTAGTAATATTATGGGTCTGTCCTCATTTTCAGGGTGGCTTAGAGTTTTTCTAAATCTCTTTGGATGTGTTTTTAATCTCACTTTGGATTGTAAACTAAGGATGCTGTTGTTATTGCTTTATTCACCTCTTTGCATCACTCTTGTAGCTTGTAGTATCTATACCAAGACAAATTCCTTGTGTGTCCAATCACACGTGGGCAATATTCTATTCTATTCTATTCTTCGGCTGCTTATGTTTAGCTGCCTAAAACTCCACCATGAGAGATATTTGCTCAGGAGGTCTTCTTTGGGATTTAACTGAAAGTCATGGTGACTGAGAGGTAATTGTACAACAAAACAGGACAGCCATATACCCACCAGACACCTCAAATGTACCAACTGTACACTAATAAACCATATCATGGGATCTATATAGGCCAGGATTCAATTGTTGGGTTCTTCCACAGGTGGTATTCAGCAGGTTGTGATCCGTTCTGGAGAACCAATCGTGGGAATTTTGAGCAATTGGGAGAACCAGCAAATACCACCTCTGACTGGAGATCCTTCCCCAGTATCCTTCCCCAGCCACACCCACCAAGCCACGCCCACAGAACCGGTAGTAAAAAAAATTGAATCCCACCACTGGGTTCTCTGAGCTTGATTCCCTTCCTTCAGGGAACTTCACTAGCACACTGATGATGTTGCCTGTCCTGGTGATAGAATAGAATAGAATAGAATAGAATAGAATAGAATAGAATAGAAT